CCCCCCCGGGGGGGGGGGGGGGAACAGCTTCCCCGGGCGGGGCGATACCATCGCACCACAGAGGGGGGGGGAAGAGAGGGCCTAAGGGCTGCCCCAGTCACAGAATGAGGGAATGGGGTGGGGACCTCTGGAGATCATCTCCTCCAACCCCCTGCCAAAGCAGGTCCCACAGGAACGTGTCCAGGTGGGTTTGAATGTCTCCAGAGAAGGAGACTCCACCACCTCCCCGGGCAGCCTCTTCCAGGGCTTTGCCACCCTCACAGCAAACAAGTTCCTCCTCATGTTGAGGTGGAACTTCTCATGTTCACGTTTGTGCCCATTTCCTCTTGTCCTGGCCCTGGGCACCGCTGAAAAAAGACTGGCCTCATCCTCCTGACACCCACCCTTTAAGTATTTACAGGCATTGATCAGATCTCCCCTCAGCCTTCTCTTCTCCAGACCCAAGAAGTCCCAAGAGAAGAGACCCAAGTCCCTCAGCCTTTCATAGAATCACAAGTGCTGGAGCTGGTGCAGAGAAGGGCAACGAAGCTGGTGAAGAACCTGGAGAATAAATCACACAAAGAGCAATTGAAGGAGCTGGGACTGTTTAGTTTGAGGAAGAGGAGGCTGAGGGGAGACCTCATCACTCTCTACAACTACTTGAAAGGACGCTATAGAGGGGTTGGTGCTGGCCTCTTCTCACAGGTCTTTAGCGATAGAACAAGAGGGAATGGCTTCAAGCTACAACTGAACATTAGGAAAGAGTTTTTCACAGAAAGAGTGGTCAGACACTGGAATAGTGCCCAGGGAGGTGGTTGAGTCGCCATCCTTGGATGAGTTGAAGAGCCGTTTAGATGTGGTGTTGGGGGATATGGTGTAGGGGAGAACTTTGTAGAGTGGGGCAGATGGATGAATGATCCCAAGGGTCTTTTCCAACCTAAATGATTCTATGATTCTATTTATATTTCAACCCTTGTGTTTGTGTTCCCCAACTCCCCTTTCTGGGTGGGGAGGAGCCATCAGGTGATAGAATAATTTTCTAAACAACACTAGATTCTTATGGGTTTTCTCAAACCGTAACGTTTATTTATTATTTTTTTTTTTTTAAAACTATATATAAAGGTTATTCCGCAGCCTCACTTCTTCCAGAACCGCTGGTAGGTGCCCAGGTCGATGCCCTCGAAGGTCTCCTCCGCCCCAACCTTGGGCTTGCTGGGGAACTGCCGCCGCAGCCGGGCCTTGCGCTGGGCTTCGGGCAAGGTGCTGCTGTCCAGGGGCAGCTGAGGGGGACAAGATGGGGTGAACAACATCCCCCCAGCCTCCTGGGCCTCACCTATGTCCCCAAAGGACACGGTTGGGACCCCCAACCTGGTCTATCCCACCCAAAACCCTGCTCCTGGCCTCACCATGAGGATCCGTTTGGGCTCCTTGTAGCGCAGGCGGACGGTAGAGCCATCAAGCTTGACCAGGAGGACGGGGTAGAGGCGGCCATAGTGCTGGCGGTGGAGGTGGGAGATGGCAGCACGGTTGGAGTTGGCCCGGACGGAGGTGGTGACTGGCCTGGCCGGGAGACGGAGGGCGCTGGTAGGGAACACAGAATCACAGAATGATATGGAGTTTGAAGGAACCTCTGGAGATCATCTCCTCCAACCCCCTGCCAAAGCAGGTCCACCCAGAGCAGGTCCCACAGGAAGGTGTCCAGGTGGGTTTGGAATGTCTCCAGAGATGGAGACTCCACCACCTCCCTGGGCAGCCTCTTCCAGGGCTCTGCCACCCTCAAAGTCAAGAAGTTCCTCCTCGTGTTTAGATGGAACTTCTTATGGTCAAGTTTGTGCCCGTTTGCACTTGTCCTGTCACTGGGCACTACTAAAAAAAGATCGGCCCCATTCTCTTGACACCCAGACATCAATCACAGAATGGCTAGGGTTGGGAGGGACCTCTGAAGATCATCTCCTCCAACTCTCCTGCCAAAGTAGGAGCACCTGGAGCGAGCTGGGCAGGAACGCTTCCAGGCGGGTTTGGAATGTCTCCACAGAAGGAGACTCCACAATCTCTCAGGGCAGCCTCTTCCAGGGCTCTGGCGCTCTCAAACTAAAGTTGTGATGTTCAGGTGGAATGTCCCATGTTCTAGTTTGTCCCCGTTGCCCTTGTCCTGTCACCACCGAGAAGAGCCTGGTCCCATCCTCTCAACACCCACCCTTTAGCTATTGCTCAGCACTGATGACATCCCCTCTCAATCTTCTCTTCTCCAGGCTGAACAGCCCCAGCTCCCTCAAGCCTTTCCTCAGCAGAGAGATGCTCCAGTCCCTCATCATCCTCACAGCCTCCGCTGGACCTTCTCCAGCAGTTCCCTGTCCTTCTGGACCTGGGGGAGCCCAGAACTGGTCCCAGTGCTCCAGATGGGGCAGAGCAGAGGGGGAGAATGACCTCCCTCTGCTTTTTGAACACACTCTTTTTAATATCCCCCAGGAGACCACTGGCTTTCTGGGCCACAAGGGCATATTCCTGCCTCACGGGCCACCTGTTGCCCACCAGGACTCTCCAGCAGGCCAACCCCTAACCTATACTAGTGTGTGGAAGGCAAAGGGGGTCGCCATTAAACCTCCC